TGGAGGGGAGGGGCCAGGGTCGAGGGTTGAGGGTGGAAGAGTGAGGCGGAGGGTGGAGGGGGAGGCCAGGGGTCTCAAGGGTTGAGGGTTGAGGGTGAGGGTGGGAGGGGGGGCCAGGTCAAGTGAGGTGGAAGAGTGAGGGGTGGAGGGGGGCCAGGGTCTAAGGGTTGGAGCCCTGGAGGGTCAAGGGTTGAGGGTGAAGAGTGAGGGCGGAGGGTGGAGGGGGAGGGCCAGGTCCAAGGGGGTTGAGGTGGAAGAGTGGAGGCGGAGGGTGGAGGGGAGGGGCCAGGGTCAAGGTTGAGGGTGGAAGAGGGGAGGGGGAAGGGGGCAGGGTCAAGGTTGAGGGTGGAAGAGTGAGGGCGGAGGGTGGAGGGGGAGGGGCCAGGGAGGTGCGAGGGGAGGGGCCAGGGTCAAGGTGTAGGGTGGAAGAGTGAGGCGAAGGCGAGGGGGCAGGTCAAAGGGTTGAGGGGGAAGAGTAGGGCGGGTTGGAGGGGGAGTGCCAGGGTCAAGGGTTTGAGGGTGGAATAAGTGAGGGCGGAGGGTGGAGTGCGGGAGGGGGCCAGGGTCAAAGCGTTGAGGGTGGAGGGGAGGCAGGTCTACAGGTGTTCGTCGTCGGAAGAGTGAGGCGGTGACAGGAGTCGGCAGGGGGAGGGGCCAGGGTCAAGGCGTTGAGGGTGGAGGGAGGCCAGGTCAAAGGGTTGAGGGTGGAAGAGTGAGGGTGGAGGGAGGGGCCAGGGGTCAAGGTGGGTGAGGGAGGGCCAGGGTCAAGGGTTGAGGCGTGGAGGGGGGGCCAGGTCAAGAGTTGAGGTGGGAAGAGTGAGGGCGGGGGTGAGGGGGAGGGCCAGGTGCAAGGGTTGAGGTGAAGAGTGAGGCCGAGAGGGTGGAGGGGGAGGGCCAGGGTCCAAGGGTTAGGTGGGAAGAGGGAGGGTGGGAGGCGGAGGGCCAGGTCGAGGGTTGAGGGTGGAGGGGAGGGCCAGGGTTCAAGTTTGACATGGTGTGGAAGAGTGAGGGCGAGAGGTGAGGGGGAGGGGCCAGGTCAAGGGTTTGAGGTGGAGGGGGAGGGGCCAGGTCAAGGTTGAGGGTGGAAGAGTGAGGCGTGAGGGTGGAGGGGGGGGCCAGGGTCAAGGGTTGAGGGTGGAGGGGGAGGGGCCAGGGTCAAGGGTTGAGGGTGGAAGAGTGAGGCGGGGGTGGGGGAGGGGCCAGGGTCAAGGGTTGAGGTGGAAGACGTTGGAGGGCGGAGGTGTGGAGGGGGAGGGCCAGGTCAAGGGTTGAGGGTGAAGAGTCAGGCGAGTAGGAGGGGTCGGGCCAGGTAAAGGGTGAGGCGTGGAAGAGTGAGGGCGGAGGGTGGAGGGGGAGGGCCCAGGGCAAGGGGTGATAGGGTGGAAGAGTGAGGCGGAGG